TTGACATCTGATTATGATCTGCACTGTTTACTTGACATCTGATTATGATCTGCACTGTTTACCTGACATCTGATTATGTTCTGAACTGTTTACTTGCCCTCTGATTATGTTCTGAACTGTTTACTTGCCCTCTGATTATGTTCTGAACTGTTTACTTGCCCTCTGATTATGCTCTGAACTGTTTAAATGCCCTCTGATTATGGTCTGAACTGTTTACTTGCCGTTTAATTATGGTCTGAACTGATTACTTGACATCAGATTATGCCTGTACTGTTCACTATATCATCAGCTCTTATGTAAAAGAGTCAAACATCTGGTAAATGCCGAAAAGAGAGAGAGTTTAAGTAACAAAATTATAAGGAAGGGAAATAACTTTTGTATGTAACGGCTTAATATTTAATTGCTTGAATGTGTCAAAGTTAGAAGATATAATTAATTTGATTTTTTTTATCAGTTTAAAATTTAAGAAAATATTACACAGGGGAAAACAATTTTATTTTACTGATTCAATTGTATGGTATTGTTTACCTAATAGGCAGATGGTTACGGAATTAATCTCTTTTAATTTTGATTTCAATACTTGTGAAATGGCCTTAAGCATGGAAAGAATACCAGCCTGAATTATTAATTATGTATGAATGTTTTCTCTGCGAAATTGGGAGTGGGGGGGGGGGGGGAAATGACAATGTAACCATGGTAATTAAACAGATTGTGGTGCCTGAAAGTGCAGAGATATTTCATAAAATCACCTTCCTAGCAATGCTTTTTAGGTCATCTGAACTTACGGGTATTCCAATTGAAAGTCTGCAGAAAAATCTTACAATCGAAGATCATGTAAAATAAGATTACTTAGGTGCTAGTGCATTTTTTAAAAAGCTGCTCATGTCCAGATAAGTAAATTTTGTTTTAAAGGCACATTGTTTCTCAGAAATCCATATTTTTTAATTCTTTAGAATTGTCAAATATGTGTTTGATAATGTTTAATAATGTTTTAATAATGAAATGAATTTTGAGCATAATACGTCTTCATGTTTAAATACTGAAGAAAGTAGCTTTGAAAATGCATTAATGTGTTGTAATTTAAGGTAGAAAAATGTAAACAAAATACTAATTTGCTATAAATAAACCAGTAACAGAACTTAAAATGCAAAAGATAGTTCATGTATATGTCAAATGAGTATATTTTTAGAAACAATAAAATGTTTTTGAGAAATGAAATTGATAGCATTTCTGAGGCATAATGGGCCTTTAAAAATTTAAACCAAAATCTATAAAGCTTTAACCCAACTGGAGGTGACTGACTTTACCTATATGACCAATGCAGACCTGAAGTCATTATCGTATGGTCTGCCCTGTTTACTTTTCAGTCAGTACATAAATTTTAGAATATTCCCTAAAATGGTTAATGATTATGCTTGTGTAATATCGGTTTTGTATTTTCTGATCACAGATCAGTAAATACAATGCTGAAAATCAATCTCTGACACAGAATTTTCACGACAAACCTAATAAGTAGTTCTCAAAACAGATTAAAACTAGCGATGTAAAAGAAAGAAATATTTTTATTTTGTTACAAGTATCCAACAAATTACAACCCATTCAAAGTTTAAAAGAATATAGAATTTGCAATAAATGCACAATCACAAATTACGCAGATGAATATCATTTTAATCAATGAAAAATTAATGCTATTTTTAGCGATGTCGATTACCGAATACTACAAATAAATCTGACTGTCGATTAGTGGAATATATACATGTCGGACTCAGTTTTGGCAAGAAGATTTCCGCTAAATTATTTTCATCAGTGTTAAACAACAGGTTTATCGTGAACAAAATACCTCGAAATTAATAAGGATTACAAACAAGAAATGGGAATTCTCAATTTAGAATTACAATGAATATGTTATTTTTTCAAGTTAACTACGTATTACTTCACCTTGGTGCAGGGGTAGCGCGCTCGTTTAGGGTAGGAGAGGTCTGGGGTTCAAATCCCAGGCGAGGCAACTTTTTTTTCTTTTTTTCTTTTTGAAGTGTATTTATTAAGGAAGTAGCCACGATATGCAAGGATAAAGTGTGGCTGTCATAAAAATATGAACATAAATGATTTTTTGATGCAACTCTAGTCATGCAAAATTACAAACTCAAACTGTTATAGTAAAAAATCTAAACGCAGTTGCTGCATCTCGTGTAAGATGAACTATTGTATATAAAAATAAAATTATACAGGAAAATACATACAGATAGTCAGTATGATTTAGATTGCAAAGATCAGAAAATACCACAGAGCTTGCAGCCCTTTGATTATAAAATGGCTTTATTTATTACCACTCCTGCACCTTGGTTTATGTGTTAAATAGTTATATTTCTTCATTTAGGAGGATATTTTATGGTTGTATGGTGAAAGGCTTAATATAATAACCTTATGATTGCAAAACAACCATCTTTGAAATATAATCTATCATTTTAAAGATGGCTTCACACACTATCCATAGGTCAACATAATGTACAATATATCATTGTTTAATAAAGTTTAAGGAAATAAAAACACCCCAATGTATCCATTATAAGTCTGCAAAGATACGATTACTTTGAATAATTAAAAAAACTGTAAACATTTCTATATATATCTAATATTTGTCAGAATTTGTCAGGCACACAATTGTCACCATCTGATGCTCATTCTTGGTGAAAATTTATAACATCGTGAGAATTTTCTCATGTCTTTACTGCGTAATAATTTCTTCTCTTATTGTAGCATTGAAAGAAAAAAAAATCTTAGATTTTCACTGTAATTTCTCGCTAGATATTGTTACAGAGTCTTTGTCTTTCAAGTTAAATATTGTTTATTATAATGTTGGAGATTTTTTGTTGCTTGTTTCATTGTAAAGATTTTAAATTATTTGGTCATTGGTCTCTTAAGAAATATAGAAATACTTGTGCAAAACGTGACTTTAAATGCCTCATAGTGCAAATTTAAAGAACAATTTATGAGATGGTGTCGTAAAACAGTCTTTTTAGGCATTAAGCAAACAACCTTGGAGTCAGTACAATTTACGAAGTCATAATGTATTGTGTTTTATGTATGACCCACAATGCTTAACTGTTCCTATCATATTTAGGGTATATAAGGCCACCAGAGCAGTAGCCAGTTTGCTTTATAAGCTCAATTATTTAATCTAAAGTACGAGACTTGTAATCTCAACATTTTGGATAAGACTTAAAATCGAGGTCCCATTTATGAGTGCAAACACTTGGCATGTTAAAGAACCAGGGGAAGCTTCTGAAATCAGGGCATCTTTCTGTATCTTGCACTATCTTCCAAAATATAAAATGACTAATACTCTTCTGGAGGACTTGCCCTGCATATGGGCAACCGGTGGCGAGTATAAATAAACTTAAATACGGAAACACACAGTGCTGTAATGTGTTAGATATTATTAAATGATGTAATGAGTTAACCCGTTACTCCTTTAATCACTTAGATGACCATCAATTTAACAGATTGAAAAAAAATATCATTCAGGTAAATGATCGAAACTTTTTTGGATACTAAAAAAGTCCATACACCAAAATTGAAAAGCTTCTGAGAAATAAAAATGAAATCATTTCTGGGGGCATAATGGGCCTTTAAGATTCCAAAGTTTGTTTGTTTGTTTCATTTTACACCTTTTCCCAACAGTATTTCAGTCATATAGGCGGGTAGTTTCCTAACCATCGTTCCTGGAGTGTTGCACCAGTACTAGACTACCTTTCTCAGTGCTTAACTACCAAAGCGTCTCCCAGGGATTGAACCCAAGCCAGAGAGGTAACTGGATTAGAAGTCAAGATTCCAAAGAACATGAAATTTGACCTGCATGCCTTCAATTCCTTATGCTGATATTATTGTTTCTGATATCTGAGGCAGCTATATTGATCTTTGTACATGAATTGGCACCAGGTGGAATAATTTCTCAAATTTAATTTTACGAAATTTATTTTTGACAAATAATATCTGAATGAGTTCTGAAATTCAGTAAAATAATCTATTTGAAATATAAATGAAATATTCAGTCATTTCTTGGTGCAGACGTAATTTGTTTGTAAATTACTTGCGATAAAGGTTGTGTTAGGATAATTTCAGATGTACATTTTGTATATTGTAAAAAATCCCCCTCCCTACTTCCTAATTTTGAAATGAACGCGGGAGGGGTAAATTGAAATGCTTGATCTATTTTTAAAGGGACTCTGCTGAATTTTTTTTGACATGGGAGCTAGGACTGGAAATGATTTTCTGAGATTAATGTTTCATTTGATGTAGGTGCAACATAAACGATCTATCGCTCACTACGTTTTTTTGTGTGTGTTAACTGACAAAAAATTGAAAAGTGTTGCAAAGCTTTACACTTAAATTGATCTAAAAATACTGCAAAAAATTGATTTTCAATTTATTTCGTACTTATCTTTTGTATATCTTTCCATTTTAAATGCACCAGTGTATATTTTTCCATTTTGAGTGCCCCAGTGTTTATCTTTCCATTTTAAGTGCCCCAGTGTTTATCTTTCCATTTTAAGTGCCCCAGTGTTTATCTTTCCATTTTAAGTGCCCCAGTGTATAGCTTTCCATTTTAAGTGCCCCAGTGTAACTATATCTTTCCATTTTAAGTGCCCCAGTGTATATATTTCCATTTTAAGTGCCCCATTTCTACTTTATCTTTACTTTTTTAACGTCATAATTTTTTACCAGCTATTTGATCAAGTAATCAGGCTTTTGTCTAATAAGTTACTTTTTTGGAAACTCTTAACAGGACACCAAAATAAAAAAAAATAAAAAAATGAAAAAAAGGAGAGAAAAATAAATGCATTTCTGAGATTTCTGAGGCATAATAGGAATTTGATATAAACTAAACAATTAGTGGCAAATTCTTATAGAAGCTTAAGATGAAGAAATTTTTACTGTTCATGATATTTATGAGGAAAAGCAGGACATAGCACTCTAATAAATTATTAATATATTTTCAGGCTCTACGTGGTGAGCTGCAGCAACAGATTGGTCCTCAAACTAACATTTCAATCATTTCATCTGGATCCAAAAACACAGGTACCAGTCAAAGGAAAACAGTCACTCCGTCTATTTCATCAGGTTCCACAGTCCAACAAAAATCTCCCAGAATTCCAAGCTCGATTACCAGTCCAGCACCGTCTCAGTCAGCCAGGAAGTCGGTGTCGCCATGGCAACCACAGAAGACGTCGGAATATCCGAGCAAGACCGTTGACCCAGGTTCTAATTTAAATACAGGAAGTGATGTATGTGTGAGCGTCACAGTGCAGCATATTGGAGTGTCGTCTGCTAACATTCCAAATGCTAACAGTTCTATCAATGCGAAAAGTGACAATGTGTGGATTAAGGATGAAGGTAGACATAATAATGAGAATGATTTGGCAGCCAGCCAAATCAAAGTAGCGTTTAGTGAGAGTGTTGATAATAGAAATGTGGGCGGTACTACAGACGATTTTGATAACTATAAACCTATGAGTGCTGAAAGTGTATGTGAAGCTAAAACACCGGAAAATTCCATGGAAACCGATCAGTCGGAATATAGTCATGTACGGAAAATCGACTTTGATGATGTTATGGCACAGAATAAAGGTGAAAGTTTGACTGTGAATAACAGAAGCTCAGTGTCTGAAAAGGTGAACAGTGGCAATAGAAAAGACAATGCTGCAGGAGCAGACGTGCCAGAAACTTCTGCTGAGAAATTATCAAAGTCAACTGGGTGTCTCAGTCTGAAGAAAATGTTAGAAAATAAACCAGATAACCAGTCATGTCTGAATAAATCAATGGGGCATTTAGGTAAATCCAAAACTGCATTATTTGTGAACCAGTCAACCGTCCCAGGTAGAAGTGCTTTTGTTCCATTTTCCCAGGTCCAGTCTTTGTGTCGTAAAGAAGGGGCGAGTGTTAACCAGTCTGTTGCTATGGCAATACCAATAATTATTCCGTCTGCTGCACAGACACAACCTAGTCAGACTGTCTCACAACCAGCTAGTTTCACAATGATTGCCTTACCGACAGAAATTCATACCAGTCCAACTAAAAATCCTCCAGACTTGAGCAACAACGAGCCACTATTTAATATTGTCCCTGCATCAGCTGTATTCAAACCACCAAGCAATGATGGAAACACTGATCTCGCATTCCAGACTTCAGGCATCGACTCATCAAAGCTTCCTTTGAACATTCAAAATCAAACAAATGAAAGTACAAGTGTCGTAACTGTGTCATCAGTTATGTCTAAAACAACAGGGAGCGAATGTATCGTCTCTTCTTCACAAACTTTCCAAAATCTTCCGAAACAGTTACGTACAAAGTTTACACCAATTCGTCCAAAGGCATCTCCGAATAAAGCACAAAGCCAGCCCCAGAAAGATGCGAAAGCGGATGTTCCTACCTACGGGAAAGATAAACGACCTGTGTCTGCAATCTTGAAAGAAAAGCGAGCAAAAGAACAGGCTGAAGCTATCGCCAAGTTTCAGTCGAGTATTCAGTTACCATATCAACAGAACATATCAGTGACCAGTCAGCAGTTGAGTACGCTTCAAGGGCTTCAAGCTGGGTCTAGTAATATACCGCCCAGTGAGGTGGTCATTATTGTCAACAATCAGCCAATGAAACTTCAGCAAGTGAGCAATATGGGACAAAAATCTGTCACAGATCAGTCGCTTGTCGGTAATAATTCAAATGTCACAACAAAAGCTTACCAGCTGGCAGCATCAGGTCCAGATAAAAAGGAAGTTGATCCGGAAAAAACTGAAGTAAACTTTAATCTTGTTTCTAGTGAAAACATCGATAAACAATCCAAAAATTCCACAACTTCTATTAGCTCAACTGACACATTAAATCTTGGTAGTGAAGATTATGATATCGGAAGTAGTTCATCAGAAAGTAAAGTATTCTCTCCAATGAGTGAAGAAAGGGACGTAACTCCGATTTTGTGCGAGGACTATGAGGACAGTGATCTGATTGACAATTTTAACACAGCTGGCAATGGTAACCTTAACATACTCGGAGTGAGATCAGAAAGTAAGACAGGTGGAATAGGCACTGATAGGGCAGAAAATATTAGTACAGAGTTAGTGGATCAAATGTGGATCGAAACACCGCGAAAAATACAAAAATTAAACATTAAATCACCCTTTCAGGAAGACTTGTCTAATTCATTAGGTCGTGAAACTCCAGTCAGAATTTCAAAACCATCTGATCTAAGTTTAAGCAGACCCGAAAGTGCTGATTTGTATGGACGGGAGACTCCATCTGGCGCAAGAAAACGAAAGTCATCGGACATCCATGCGAGACAGAATTTTAAACGTCTGAACTCCACAGGGGAGGAGGGCGACCCAGCTCACAATTTGTCTTTTGTTTTAAGTCCAGATAATGATTTGTCTGTCAATGATATCCCTAGGAGGACCCAATCTTGTACGATGGAACTTGACCCGGAAGCAAAGGTCAAATATCAACCTCAACACCTTTATCGTCAACAGCAGCAGCAGCAACAACAACAAATGCAGCAGCAGACGGTAAAATCTGGGGGCAGTTCACTATTACCTGGGTTACAGAGTCCAGATATACACAGTCTAGAGCGTGAAGCTCTGATTGAGTCATTCCCTAATAGTCTGTATGCAATGAAACCACAGCACAAATCACACAAGAACCAGTCGAGTTCAATAGGGGTCAGTGCAAGGTCATTGAGACAGTCGCAGCAGAAGTTAATCAAGCAGCAGCAAGACCTTGATGAAAGAGTGAAGCATTTTCTACAAATGCAGACTGAGAGCAGTCTCAATGTTGACATTGGGGAAAGCAGTGAACCAGTCACGAAAAATAAAGGAGAACAGAAAACCAGTCAGAATTCACCCGGAAGTAGAGCCAGTCTGAAAGCAGAATCATTTGTAGTATCAGACAGGGGGAAACCATATCAGCGACCATCCAGTGTCACTACTGTTGGGAATAGAATGTCCAACTTAGATATTGAGCCGTCTGGTTTACCAAGTGATGTTGCAGACTGGATCAATGAAACCATAGAAAAGAGACAGAAAGAAAACCAGTCTGTTATGTCAGAGCCAGAATTTAGAAATTACCAGTCTATGAAAGCTGGCAGAAATCCAAAATTACAAAACTTCAAGTTTGAAGTGGATAATTCAGTCCAAAGTGGTAAAAAGGTCAGTCCTATTTGTGGAGGTCAAAGTAAAAATGCAAAGGATATGTCAAGTTTTAACACTGTCCCTGATGTTGTGAATGATGACAATAATTTCACTGTACCAAAAGCGCCACCTGTCTCAAGCACACGTATGAAAGACACCTTGAGACTGAACACTGATATATCTTCAGTAAGTCAACGATGTCAGTCTTTGCCAATTTTTGCCTCACCTGTGCAAAGTCCAGTCTCTCCAATGGCTCCTCCGGGGACACATCTCCATGGCAACCAAAGGGCTTCATCCATGTCGCCAAGAGGTCAGATTGCTGATCAGAGTACTGAGATGCTTTCTCCAACTTCATTTGGAATTCTTTCCCCTGGTAAAAGAAGGGAGCTTCGTGAAGTAGGGCACAAAGAGTCAAAGCAAGGCACATATTTGGCAAGCATCCAACATTCTCTGCAGAAACCTGTTGACACACCACATGATGTCATAAGTCCACAAGACTCCGCCTTTGGTAAACACCCACTTTCTGGTGGGAAAAATTTGAATGCGCTGCATAATAAGAGTAGGGAGTCTTCCATTGATGCCGATGATCGTTTTGTCTCCAAAACGCCATTTTCTGACTCTGGCTATCATAGTTGTGGCCCAAGTCCTATCTTGAACTCCACGCCAGTCTCTGCTGCAGATAATTCTGAGATTGTGTATGGCCAAGGACGTGGTCAGATGACATATAAACCATCTATAGCAGAGTCTCCAATAACCATGGTAACAGACTTTACAAGTCCGGTTCAACAACTGTCTCCACATCAATCACCCAACATCCCACAAATGACCATACATCAACAGAATGTCTCCATAGCAACCAGCCAGATGAACAATCTTGGCATGAATCCAAGTCAACTTCGATCATCAATCCACAGTGCATTTATTCCAATACAAGGCTCCCACCATGATGTTAGATATGTAACACCCATTAAACCTATGGTTACCTTACCTAATAACAGTATTGAACCAGTCTCAGTTCCAGTAGGTGCGGACTCAGTCGGAAATCTATTTATAGATGCTAATCAACCAATCACAGGTGCTGATATAAATATGATCTCACCAAGGTCAGCAGACCCTCCTTCATATGAAGTTGCTATCAAACAGTTAAAGAAATCTTCCCCTCCAAAAGATGGAACAATGAATCAAGCACAGCCTTCTGAGGTATTGAACAAAATTGAACAAGTCAAAGAACAAGTTCCAAATTTTGACCAGCAGCAGACGTTGTTGGGAAACATGGTCAGTGAACAGTCTACAGATAGTTTAGGACCTTTTGCACAGAAGCTCATGAAACTGTCTCAACAAACACAGAATATTGTTGGTAAAGACATGAGAACTCTGTTAAGAAGTGAAATTATAAACTCAAAAAATCAAGCCACCTTAGGTACAAATATTGGAAATCAGTTAATTCAGTCAGGAAATGACCTTACAAACCTGACCAGTTCTGTTAATGAGTGTCAGATAAATATTTCCACATCAGATAGAGATCCTAGTGGTGCTAATTTAGATTTTAATTTCGGTGGAGATATGAATGTGTACTCGAATAACCAGTTAATGAAAAATACCCATTTAGATCAAAGGCGTCCGGATTTTGTGCTAAAACAGAGTGATAGTCTTAAAAATGTGCTCCCTAATTCATACCCTGATCATTCCATACTTATATCTAATCCATCATCAGACAATGTGCTAAATATAGATCCGTCCTTTCATTTGTCATCTCATTTTGTAACAGCCAATCAGAGTGAAGCTTTGCCTTCAATTCATAATCATGACTCAACAAATTTGAACTTGATTGAAACCAGTCAGCTTTTGAACAAACCAGACTTTTCTCTACCTAGGGATTTGAATGAAACTCAGAAATTCCAAGTGACAAATACAGAGTTAGGGATGTTAGATGATAGTGGTGCTTACAATAGATCTGAAAACAATAGTATGATTAAGAACTTGCTGATTAGCGGGAAACTGACCGGTGAGGAATTGGACATGGTTGTAGAAAATGGTCAGAACAAACAAGAAGGTTTAACGCAGCAGGAGTTAGATGATATAGGGTTACCGTGGGAACCGTTTAGAGAAATTGAAGGGGATTTTGGTGATTTTAACATGTTTAACTGATGTTTTAAGAGCATGTTAGAAAATTTTTGAAAACCTAACTGCTGGAGAAATGAGACTAGATCAACAGAGATGGCCAAAGTTGAAAATGCTGTGAATTGTCAAATATGGAGTAAACGTTCTAGGACAGATGGTAAAAAGTAGAAATTGTGTACATGTTACTTGTCATAGATAGTAAAGAAGTACAAAAAATTAATTTTGTCATAGACGGTTAAAAGGACAAAAAATTAATTTTGTAATTGATGGTAAATAGGACAAAAATTAATTTTGTCATAGATGTTGAATGATTTGTCAGAGGGGGTAAAAAAGGTTCCCATGAAATTGTTTTTGGGGTTTATTTTGGAGGTTTTGCAATATTGTACTTAACAATGGTTATAGAAAGCCTGGCAGAATCTGGCTGACATAGGTTTAGAGGTAATGTGGAGATATTTGAAAATGATTTAACTTTTTACACACCTTTTGTGTATTTTGTTGTAGATGTTAAAAAAAAAACAACATAAAGAAAGACAGTTGACTGTGGAATGCAGGTTTTACAATATTTTAGAGCAAAGAGATGAAAAGATTATTTAAATATTTTAAGCCAATCATGTTTTACTACAGTACATGTATTTTTGTACACAAGGTTGATGAAAAGGTTATGTTTTACTTTTTCCAGAACAATTTTTATAAACTTTTAAAGAGGGAATTTGATATTTTTTTTATATTTTCAATTCAATGTAGGATTCATTTTTGTGAATTTAAACACTATTGAGTTTTAAGGAAGATTTGTTATTTGTTAAGGTTATGTGAAGTGATATTTTGATATCTTTTTTCTTAACATAAATTGTTATTATGATATTTATCTTAAAAAAGGCTTTAATTTTATTTATCAAGCTAGTCTTGGAATTACAATTTACATATTCTACTGTGAAACCAGTTTAGATTATGCATTATTTTTTAGATTATTAATTTGAGTAATTTTTAACCTTTTACCCAATGTAAGCAACTAAGTTATTTCTAAAATAATTAATTTGTGTATTTTGTTTAACTTTTACCCAATGCAAGCAACTTTTGCCGACTTTTATCATTCCTTGATATAGTGTTCCTTTACCTATTTTACTTTATAGTGTCCCTTGACCTATTTATCGACTAGAGCAAAATAAAATTAAAGAAATAATGAAATAAAAAAAGGAAAATTTTAATTGAAAACATCACATTTTGCCTTGTATACATGCTTACAAGTATATGGCAATAACAGAATTTAAATACTTTATATTTTTAAAAGTTTAAAATTTCTAAGTCCCATTAGTATACATGCTTACAAGAATATGGTAATAAAAAATTCAAATATTCTTTATTTAAACCATTGTAAAAGTTTAAAAAATCAAGTGTAAAATGCAGGTTTTTTAAAAGTAATCATTTTGATTTTTAATAGTGACATAAAATTATTCTAGAAAATATTGATTATTTCTATTTGAAAAAAAAATGAAAAAACAAACATGGCATAAAACATTCATGCAAATCAAGATATGAAAACTAAAGGGACTCCCACTGAGGTTTTTTGACATGATGGAACTGAAAATATTTTTTCAGATAAATGTACCATTTGATGTAGGTTTAGACCACTAATCATTGTGCAAAATTTCAGATCATTTGTGCACTTCGTTTTTCCAGAATAATTATTCAAATTGTAAAAATATGACCAAAAATGAAAAGCGTTTAAACGCTTTTCACACAAATCAAGCTAAGAAAAGCATAAAAATATGATTTTCAATTTATTTCGAAGTATATTTCTTGACTATCTTTGCATATATTTCAGTTTAAAGTGCCCCGGCTCATTTATGTACGAAAATTCAAATTTTATGTTTTTTGGCTTTTAAACCTCAGTGGAGTCGCTTTAATGATAAAGGCTGATTTTTAAAAAGTGTTAAAACATTTGTTCTTTTACATTGAATGTTAAGTACAATGTATAAAGATTCATGGTAAAGGTAAAACTGAATTCTTCTGGTATTGAAAGCTTCTATTTATATCATTAACAGGTATTTAGTTTAAAAAGGGTAATATTCAAATATGGCAAAAATAAATAACAATATTAAAGCAGCACGCCTCCAGATTTATTTAGCTAATTTTCATGAAAATTTTGAAAATGTGTTTTAAAGTATTATTTATTGAAATAACCAAAAGGAAGCAATTTACACATTATCAATGGCACTTACAACCCACGTTAATTACTAAAAAGAGGACAAAATATGCTAAAATAGCCCCTACTGCGTTAGTAACGCAGTAGAAATATAGTTATAAATACTGTAAAATCAGTCATTAATCGCAAATAATATGTAAATTATTACTTGAATCTTGAATATTTTTACTTTTCCTAAAAGCTTAGTACATTTTTATCAAGTTTGATTTTTGCGACGGACGCGCCCTCAGGCGCGTTCAGAGCTAAGTCATCTACACATGGGATTTCGTCGGCTACAATCGCGCAAGGTGTCCTCAACCGATTAACAGCCCAAGAAATAGTACATGAATTTGATCCTTTAAAACTCCCATACTTTGTCGGGATATCTTAATATATTCCATATTTAGCCTTTTCAATTTCAAATTAAGTTATCCAAGTTAAAATATGAACGTATATGATTGATAAAAACGTTGTAGTCCCGTAGTATTATTGCGCAATATGCAAATTACTGCCGAAACGATTTACAAAAATGTACCGCTGTCGAAAAAGTAGGACAGCAAATTATACTATAATAAAGGTGTAAGCTCTGAGTTCCAAGAAATTATTAGTAGGAAATAAATATTTCTACATTATACAAAACATTATTATTAACAAATCAAAAGTTTTTCGTGACTCTTGAATAACTCGCGCATTAATAAAAGAAGAACTATTTTCGTGACTCATACCGCGGGTTTAGCTGAATATTCAGCAGTTATTAATAAATTAGATACAGTACAATGGTTAGTATAAATATCTATTTTTGAAAATGCATGTAACAAGAGAGCTTTTCAACACTTTACCACCATGTAGTCTTTCATGGTTATCTTTATTGAAGGAAGTTATAATATCAGTTCTACTTCCGATTTTTGTGGTTTGTTTACAAATAAATTTCTAGGTCACGATATGAGTTAACCTTCGCTATTCTAAAAATAGATTCTGCTTCACTGATGCTGATTTATTGACAGGCGATTAGTACACATTATACATGTAATAAACCAGCGGATTACATGCAATACAAATGACTTATATTTTATTGTCTATATGCCCACTATGATAACACGAAGCAATGCTAAATAGCATTCTCACATGTATAATGTATTATGCTTGAAGTTTATTTGCATGGTTTTATTTTTTTTTTTTCGTTGTCAGTTTTTTCTTCTATTTACATATCATTTCTAAATCGATAAGGACACTGATTTACAAGTTTGACCAGAGTTTTTAGGCATAAATTTCATTCTGTATTTAATGCTTGAAAGTAGAAAATCTGAATTATAACAGTTTTGGACACAAAATATATTGCTCTACAAATCTCGAACTTGTATGGAACAAATTTTCTCTGTTATATATTTTGTGTTTTGTTTTTGTTTTTGTTTTTTTCTAAAATAAGCCTGAATGTCTCTCCGGTTGCATGTCCGTCGCATTCAGTGCTGCAGCACTTTGATATTGAAAAATTTCCGCTCATCTGGAGGCATGTAGCTTTAATAAGTGAGCACAAGAGAAATATTTCATTATTTAGTATAAATCTGTGACCAAAATAAGCTCAACCATAATGAAGGTATTATGTAATTTATCTTTTAAGCAATATTTCCAGGTTTTCAATTACAAGAATATGATAATTTATCAGTTTTATTAAAGGCGTTAAAGTGACATTTATAATGCCCATTCAATTGTGTATAGTGAGTGAGCAGGTGAAAGTCAAAATAAGTTTACATTTTCACATTTAATTCCTTTCAATTTTATAATTTACTTTCGCATGAACGATTAATAACACACTTAGCTCAGTGAAATTTCTGGAAATTCCAGTTGAGTTATGAAAGAATTTCAAAATTTATGGTTTTAGACGATTGGACCTCGTGGAGTTTCCTTTTTATTCTCAAATGAGTTTTTTACTGTGTTTTTAAATTCTACTTTTTTAAATACATGTAATTTTTTACATGACAAATATCTTTCTATTAACTGACTGAGATCTTTGAAATTGATTGTACTTTTGAATATTTTGCGACTTTGTGAGATATTTATGAGTGTAAACTCCAGTGACAAAAGAGAAGAAAATGGAAAGTTATCTGTCCCTAGATAAATTAAGGATATTTCCTCCGCTCCCAACTATTTTATTAATGGTCTGAAGTTTCTTTTTGGCTTTTCTTTTATTTTAATTATTTAAAGTTTAGTGTAAAGATTGAATTGCCATGTGCATATTGAAATATTTAGAGTTTTTACTTGTTTATTTCTGTTGTTGTTTTTTTCCCCAATTTTAGTAATGCTGCTAACTTTTAATAAAACAGTTTTTTTCTGTCCATCTATTTATTGATTTCAATACATTAATGTGAATGTATGACCTATTTTTAGGGGACTGTAGGAAAGTTATAGTATGTAATTTCTAAAAATAACATTCATTTTTTTTTTGTCCAATGAATTTCAAATGGGTTGAAGGGTTAGTGTTAACTGTTATAATGTATGCCCCCTTTTAAAAGTTCAATTTCTAAGGTTTTCAACTTTCAAAGAAACGTGTACAAGGACACTTTCTAAGTTTAGAACATCTAATAATGGAACTAAAAACCGCAATTTTTTTATAACGAAGGATGAAATAAAAAACCGAAGTTTCAATATTTCTCCATAAATAGTTCCATTATTAACTTTCTTATATCAAATATTCTATAGGTTATTTATTCAGTCAGTCAGTTTGAATTGTTTAGATTGTATAGGCACTAATATATTCAAAAGTGTTTTTATTTGATTTTTTTTTTTTCCTAGTCTTGTATAAGAAATATAAAATGATAATCGTGGATTTTACAGACAGACAGATGTTAAAGTTTAAGTTTAATATGCTGTTTCCTGGCCGTTATAATGAATGCTGTATAACAAAAAGATTTTCTCAATAATATTTTTTTATTTTTTTTTTACATTGTTTTTTTCTGCTTGTTTTTT